AAGGAAGATGGCGGCGGCGACGAGCGCAGCGCCGAACCTCCGTCGAGCGGGCTCGCAGACGGAGAGGCGCTGCCGCCAGGGGGCGCCGGCGCGGAGTCCGCACCCGACGTTCCCGCGCCGGTGAACGGCGATCGGAACAGCGAGGTGTCGTCCGAGGAGGAGGGCAATCTCATGATCGTGACGTGATGGCGGCGCGGCGTCCCTCCCCCTCCTCCCTCCCTCCTCTCTGCACCGCAGCACACACCCTCCAAAGATAGAGATAGTTTTATTGAGAAATCTTATTTTGCAATACGGCAGTCGTACGCGCGCGCGGTGCGGTTATATGATGGCAAACAGGTGAGAGAGCGTTTGCGTGTGTCGGCACACTTGGGGTTTTGCACCGAGGCTCTGCGTGACGGACTAACGCATCGTACGTGCGCGACCTCGCACGACCTCACGTGAGTACGCGTGTGATGCAGCGTCGAAGGGTTTGTTGCCGTGAACCAACATGGCGCGTGAGAGCGATTCGAGCGGAATTGAGGTTGAAACTGACCCGACGCGTTATTCGTACTGATCGCAATGCAAGATGGGATGTTCGCTTGTTTGCGTTGTCGTGGAATGTTCGTCTGTTTGCGACGTTCGTCGGCTTGCGTTCTGTGGCAGGACTTTCACCTGTTTATGGTGTCGCGAGATTTGCATCCGCTCTCGCCGTGTCATGAGACGTTCAGTTTGCTATTGCAAAATTACGCGAAAAGTCTTGCGGAATGCTTGATAGGATTTAGACCGGTATGTGTGCAAGGCGAAGGTCGTAACCATGGCGACTGCTGCTGTATTGTGCGCAAACTGCCCTTTCCCGTTGCATGTGTTGTTCCCTGTGGTTAATATGCATTATATCATTTTTAAAGAATGTCTGTAAATAGGTACTAGACCTGTTAGTTTTTTCACCGAATCCCCATGTATTCTTTTAGGTATATAGCATATATAGCGTCGAAAATATTATCCTTTTCGTTACTTTTCGCGATAACTGACAGTGTTGCAGTGTATCGACAATCGTATTTGTTAGTTCACGATACGTGTGTCGCTCGCATGACGTCAAGAGCGTATAAAGAAGGCATTTATACGCTCTTGATGACATGTTGTGAATTCTTCACATCTTTAATGATGGTACGAATCGCCTGAGTTTTAATGTAAAAATTTCGTTTTTACACTGAGAAGAGAGAAATCTCGGACATGATTATGCACGAAAACGCCGTGTATCGGAGAGCGCTGATGAAAATTACTTTGCTGCATTTATGAGAATTTGTGTAATATTGATAAATTGTTTATTTGTTCACTTAGACTTGCATTGTCATTAAGTATGTTACATATTTTTTAATTAATAGCAATGTGAGTGAGCATGTACTAGAATACGAAATCAGTCATTGGCAAAAGAAATGGGATATTATATTCCGAGTTCAGGCTTATCAGAACGGATCCAACTGTATGTGTACAAAACTGGGCTAGTGCACCCTTTGGCTCGTATTAGTGTTCATATTTTACAAATTGCTGCCTGTATTGTTCCTTTTTTAATATAGAAAATTTGCATTTATATTAAGTATTAAAATAATTAAAACATTTATCTCAGATATATCTGTCGTCTCCTTGCATTTTATTTAATTTTCCTATAAATGTGTTATATAGAATATTTGTGTAGAAACACATTGCGGAAACCATCGCACATTTACACAAGCACAGTAAGGAATCGGAACATCGCCTTCATTACAGAAATATTTACTATTCCCAGTCGTGAAAAACCACTTGACAATAACATAGATCTATGTATGTACTGGTTTTATACAATGCTATTTAAATATAGCATAGTACATCTCTGATCCTCTTGACCACTACTGTCATGAAAAATTACACTCGCACATGTCAAAATGCAAATAATTTTAATTGAATGCATAACAGCGAGTCCCTTTGCTAGACCCAAAGCAACAGATTTTAAGAGCACATATGCTTCACTATTAGAGCCCACGGACTCAAAAAACAGGATTTTCTCCTATCTTTACCTCATAAACCTACTTCACATCTCAAGAATCGTTTGACCTTGAGATATCTTTTCATGCATACATACTTTTGATGCAGATAAATTCTGACAAAACTCATGAAGTCAAGTGCGCTAAAACAGCAGTGTACATACGAAATCTATAGATATGTATTACTGGCAATGCCTCAAACAAAACATTACTACATTGCGAAAACCTATATAAATGAGTGCATTTTGCATCGTGACCACACATACTCGGTAACCTCACTTCGTAGCTAGGTCACGCCTTCAATCTACCAAGCACACATCTCTCATGCTGTAATAACACGTTTACTTTGGATACCATGCAGTACGTTTTTGACCTTCATAAAAAAGATGTAAAACATTCCCGATGGGCACGGCATCATTGTCCGACGTTCACATCGTTTGTACAAATTATAATGATGATGCAAGCACTGCACCACACAACCAGAGATGGCTGTACACAAGCAGAGAGAATGGCAGCCATAAGGTCGCCCAATTCCGAAATGCGAAATCGGCTTACTGGAGTTTTTTGTCACATTTACTTCTCTAATTGATCATGCATGTTTTACGTTATGTATATGTTATTATTTCAATCACAAGTGCATGCCTGAAAGACAGCAATTAACCAATTAGCCTAATTGACAGGCACCTCTATAGTTAATCACTGTCGTAATACAATGTTCTAAAACACAACGCTTGTCAACGAAGTGCCCCAAAGTGGGCATTCCGACTTGCACGTGCGCGAGACACACGTACAGTCTGGGTTAGCTTAAGGCATGTCGCCAGACTTAGGCCCGCAAGCTCGGGCTTCAACATCATTTCCGGATGTTCCCGATATTTCCTTTTTTTTAAATTGTGAAATGAAACAGTTGCAATCGACGTACTTTTTATCATGTTTCAAATGTTAAAATTTCATTTTAAAACTCGCCAACGTACACCATTTCCCATGTAGCATTCATTCCCAGGGTGCTACAAATATTTTTTATCCACTTGCCCGACAGGGTTACGAAACTGGTTGCCCGGAGGCAAAAGTCACTTGCCCGAAAAACATAAAGAAATACATAAAAAAAATTACAAGATGAATTTAAATGGTAAATAACGTAAATGAAGGTCCAACTAGTCAACATTCAGCATTTCACTTAACGACACCTGAACAGCTGATACGAGTTTGTATACAAAGTATATTTATGTTGGGACACAGCACGCAGTTTGTTTTTAATTTTGAAATTTTTTTTAAGTGTCAGTTTATTATCAATAACCCACCACACTCACAATAAATGAATAAAATAACGTTTATTTGGGGCTGGATCGTAAGCGCAGAGAATATAGCAGTGCATGCTATATAGTATATAGCATATAGTGTATATAGTAGAGGGGCAAACATTTGAAATATACGCTGATCAGGTAACAACTATGCCTGGCCTAGGGGCCGGGTTTACACGTTACTCTGTACATATTGTGTATATCACTGTATCCACCGATTGTTTCATTCGCATTGTTTTTTCATTCAAATCTCTTTGCAGCAAGGCAGCGCGATGTTGGTTGGTCTGTGCAAAACAATGCAAGGGACGAGTGGAAACAAAAAAATATCATTATGGCTAGACTAGACATTCAACCAAAAAAACTTGCTTGCCCGAACGGGCAAGTGCAATTTCAAGCTACTTGCCCGGGGGCAAATTTTGGTTGCCCCGGGCAAGCGGGTTTGTCGCGCCCTGAATTCCATGTACAACAATTTTTGGGAGAGGCCCCCCTCACACACTCTCCTCCTTTACGGTGCTTCGCGCCTTCATGACTGGGCTTCAACATTAGTCAATCCCTGGCGACGACCCCGAGCTTGACCGATCTAGCAGCAACATCTAGCGGAGTTACCTCGCTCACACAGACTTGATTCCCAAAAGCCCCTCATCAGGCTCAATCTTTCTTCACCTCCTCGCCGTCCCCCAGCGGAAAATAGATCGGCAGCAGCTGCGAGTAGATCTCCACGTCGACGGAAAGGAAGAGGCAGAAGATGACCCTGTCGAACGCGTCCGGGTGCCGATCGAGGAAGCCGCGCACCGTCGCCACGGCGACCACCGCCGCCTTCTTGTTCGGGTATCCGTAGACGCCCGTCGAGATGCACGGGAAGGCGATGCTGCGCGCGCCGGCGTCTCGAGCGAGGCCGAGGCACGTCGCGTAGCACGACTCCAGCTTGTCGGCGTGCTCGCCAATCGGACCGACGGTGTGCAGCACGCGCTCGGCCGGCAGCCGGTGGCCGCCGGTCATCTTCGCATCCCCCGTCGCGCAGCCGTTCAAAGTCGCGCACTCCGCCTTCAGCTCGCGACCGGCCGCCCGGTGTATCGCGCCGTCGACGCCGCCGCCGCCCATCAGCGACGCGTTGGCGGCGTTGACGATCGCGCCGACCTCGAGCGTCGTGATGTCGCCGCGGAAGACGGACACCCTGTCGTTGAGGTCGGCGGCGACGGAAAACTTCGGCGGTTCGGCGAGCGCGACTTTCTGGAGGTAATAGCTGTTTTCTTTCGCGTACGCCGGCCACGTCGGGATGTCGGCGAGCGTCTTGAACGCCGTGCCGCAGCTGTACTGCGCCTTCTTCTGGGACAGCGTCGCCGATGCGGTTTTGATGATGGCGGTCTTCATTTTAGTTGCGACAAGTACCTGGAGGGAAAAAGTGAGCTCGTTTATTGATGCGCAGAGTAACAATTTATTGGGCTCTGTATAAAACTGTCTAAATCGGGCCCGAGTCTATTTTACACTTCAATTCGAATTTTGTGTAGGCTACCGGTTTATCCTGGTATTTCAATTTGTAACTCAGTACAAAATAGTTAAAATACAAATCAATGGAAAATGCGTCACCACACTAAGGCGGCATAGTCGTGTGAGACATGGTGTTTTAAGCAAAGTGACGACAGAAACTAGTGGGGCTCGCCGGATTATAAATAAACACTACATTAGAGCTAGAAATCGTGGAAGAATGTGGAAGATGTTGACTTACGTACGTTCTCGCTCAGGTTCTCGTAGCAGACTGCGTATTTACATTATTATGCTTTTACGAGCCAACAGGTAGCTGCACCGTTCGTAGATGGGGATAAGTAGACGAGTTCCCTTTCTCTATTCGCGAGTCATTGGTTAGACAAGTCGAAACCTCTTGTCAGTCTCGAATGAAGTGATAGGAGAAGGTACCCGTCTAGGAAAAAATCAGGATCCACAATGCTAGCACCTAACCTGTATAATACCAGTCGTCATGTTACGCTTGACTGCGTTCGCTACACTGACACCTACTCTAGTGAGTAGGCCCTAGCGGCCGTTACGAGCAGGAGCGTTAATCATTAACGTTATGCTAGCACCTAGCACTATCACAGACTAAAGGATACATCCGTTATCTGATAACCGGATGTATCCTTTAGTCTGTGGCACTATGGGGCATAGATACTAACCCAAGGGGTTAGTATCCCAACTTGGGTTAGTATCTATGTATGGGGGAAAATCCAGCGAATGGAGATCCGTAAACAGCGCATGATTTAAAAAAGGTAACTGGGCGCACAATCCGCGTACTATTTTGTATCACTATTTTATCAAATTTTTCATGAAATAGTGGTCGGATTTTTAATATCTTTGCATCTTTTATTAGTCCAAATCTGATTACATAGGATACGAGTAACGTGGCTGCTGTAAAACTTGTAGTAAAAAAACGTTACAAATTGCGAGAGCGAAAGCGCCATCTGTCGTGGAGTTTTGGGGAAAAATCAGCTGCGCAACGCGAGGAATCATGGGATACACACCCAAGTGACCTAAACCTGAGACCTAAACAACCAAGAAATGTTTAAATTGTGTACTTTTACTGCGCTGTGAATTTTGCACGGAAAGTAAGTCTCTATCTGTAATCTGCTGGCAAATCTGCTACACCAAGACCGGGGCGAACACCAGGAGTATAAAGATCGGCATATGTAGTGATATTTGTAGCTGTAATCAGCGCAACAAAAACACCGAGATCGGTCGCTTTCTTCTGTCTACGTCCAAAACGACAAACTGGAACATTTACGCTTGATCATGTCCTCTGAAGATTCTGTGATCGATTCTACTACGTATAAAGACTACCATTGTCGGCACAAAGCAGGAAATTCGAACAGTATTGTGTTGCACCCGAGTTCAGTTATAAAATTACCTCGAAGTCGACCGAGTTGTCTACCGAACAAAGCAATATTTCCGTTTTGAACAAACGAACTATATACATCTCCATCTGTCCATCCCAGATAGCGCCACCAAAGCTACTTTGCATTCATCCATCTATAATCTGTATTATATGTATTATATTATATAACCTTAGTTGTACAAAGAGCCAAATATTAATTTTCGTACGTCTAGTACTAGTAGTAGTAGTAGTAGTAGTAACAATTAGTTGTGGGACGTTTCTCGGCAAACTTGTTTGATCACGATCACAAGCAACTGCCGCTCGACGTAAAGCAAATCGAGTTTGCGATTCTATTGTGGATAAAACACGAGTGCGAGAACTTGATTACACGTATTTGCGACGGTGGATCGAAATCGCATTCGAGAATGAAGCTACTGGAAAATCCTCAGCTTGACGCCCTGAACTCGGCTCTCTGCATTCAGGAGGAGAACTGCCAAATTGTTGGGAGGTGAGCTTAGTAATACTAATAATGGTAGTGGTAATGGTAGTGCCAGTGGTAGTGGTGGTACTCGACTAAATAAATGCACCCAATGCATGGAGTGGAACACCGTGTAATTAGGGCTGAAAGGGTCTATGTCCCCCAGGTTACTGCCGGAACGTACCCTGGGTACAGTCCGGTATGCCGGAACGTACCCTGGTACTATCTAATATGCCGGACCGTACCTCGCCTACTCCACTAACGAGTCTAGGGAGTCGCCTACGCCTACTCCCTAACCCTAACCCTAACCCTAACCCTAATCCTAACCCTAACCCTAACCATATCAAATAGTTACCAGGGTACGTTCCGGTATACCGGACCGTACCCAGGGTACGTACTGGCAGTACCCTGGGGGACATAGACCATATGAGCGTAATTAGGGGTGGGATGAGATGGGTAGTTCCGAATCACGATTCAGCCTTGAGGATGTGATATATATATATATATATATATATATATATATATATATACATATATATATTGTGGATTTTCTGTTAGATAAGATTACTAGTCTGTTTGTGAATAAAACAATAATTTTTATGTTGGTAGTGGCCCTTTCTGGCCAATATACATGAACAAATCTTAAATACACGTGTTAACTTGTAAATTAATAAATAAGAGAGGAAAGGAGCCGAATAATGAATACAAATTGAGCAAGTTCTGCAGATTTTTTATACCATAAAGTACGAAAAAACCGAGTACTACACATAAAGAACTATCGTTCAATGGCCTTGAGAAATGTTTGCAACTAACAAAAAAAGCCTCCTTCACCAGCTTTAGCGAGTATTGGGATTTACCTTCGACTTCACTACGCAAAAACCTACAGCAATCTTTACAGGAGGTATAAAAAATGCATTTTTAAAAACCTGAGGTTGTAAACACTTTTTCGCGACTTTACGATAAGGCTTGTAGTTGTACGTTCGAAAAACTCGTCCCTCTCTCTAACAATGTCGGCGTTTACCACACAGCACAGGTTCTCGTACGGGAACAAGGCACCGTTAACTTTTTTCTCTCGAGATAACTTTGCGATGGGGTTTTAGCGATTCACAGAAATTTCCCGTCGCGGCTTGTAGCCGGCAACCGTTCTGACAGTCAATTCGATTCACCATCTCTGTACTACCTTCACCGATCTCGGCAGGCTGGAAAGCTACTCTTGCAAGATGGCGGGGACCGACAAGAAGCTGTTCAAAGCGCTGAACCACGAGCCCGGCGTGAGTCCGAGCGACCTGCAAGCGCTGTCGCCGCCTCAGAGCATGATGTCTCACAGTCCTGGCGCCTACTACAGCCGCAGCTTCAGCTCTGACAACGAGGTTAGACGGCCGCCAAATAAAAATTAACGTCGTCCGACGCACCTCGACCTTCTCCTGCTCCAACCTTCCCGCTGCCTCCAACCTTCTCCCTGCTCGACCTTCTCCCTGCTCGAACCTTCTCCCTGCCCTCCACCTTCTCCCTGCTCCACCTTCTCCCTGCTCCACCTTCTCCCTGCTCGACCTTCTCCCTGCTCCACCTTCTCCCTGCTCCACCTTCTCCTGCTCCACCTTCTCCCTGCTCCACCTCTCCCTTGCTCGACCCGCTCCCTGCTGTCGCACCTTCTACCTGCTCCAGCCTTCTCCCTGCCCTCCACCTTCTTCCTGGCTCGACCCGCTCCCATGTTCGACCTTCTCCCCTGCTCTCCACCTTCTCCCTGCCCTCCACCTTTCTCCCCTTGCTTGCACCCGCACTCCCTGCCTCGCACCCTCGCTCCACCGCTCGACCCCGCCCCTCCCTGTTCGACCTCTTGCTGCACGGGGGGCGACTCGCACATTCCCAA